AGTCAGAATATAAACACAGTGCAATAATATGAGGCATTCCCTTATTGAATGGGTCTAATGGGAGTGTATTTTTAAGTGAGCTATTTGGGTACCCATGTTTTACTAATGTTTGTGTGGTTTCCTTTCAGACCATTTGATTTTTTTAAGTGGTTTTGGCAACAGATTCACCATGGCTGTTATGTTTGGAGCCACTTCCAGCACATGCCTGAATATGTTTTTACAACTAAAAAATGGAATTTCTCAGATGCCTGACCCAGCTGGATGGGGCCAGGGTAAGTGGTCATACCATAGCAACCTAATTTTGAATAAATTGATTAGTTTTTGTTTGTTTTGTTTTGTTTTTTCTCTCACTGTTAAAATCATTGTAAAGAGTATAGTAGCTATAGGTTAACTCAGTTTCCATGGGTCAGTATTATTTTATGAACAAATTTTAATATAGTTATTAAATGGAATTTAACATAAGTTTAAATGACTAAGAGCAAATACATGCATGGTCAGTAGCGTTTTCAGACATTTGGTTTATGTCTTAGCCAGCTTTTAGCATCCGTGCAGTATTTGTTGCATTCTGCATAGTTTGCATCAGCACTGCTGTGGATGTTAGGGCCCTGGGGCTGTCCTCATCCAGCAGTATACCTTATCAGTGTATGTGTTGGTTTACCATGTGCCAGTGTTGTGTTTGCTGTTCTGTAGTGTGGGATTCTTGTCCTTGAGGATAGCAGTTCTCGGTGTTTCCTCCCCTCAACCCCAACTGCAGGGTTTGTTTTGCAGGGTCTATTTCAGCAAGCTGCCACTTTAGCGTTGGGTAGGCCAGTTGGGTGTTCTAGCATCTTGGGGTGTGACTGTAGTTGCAGCTCCTGGGCCCCTTGGGCACCCAGCCTCCATTTGTGATGTGGGTGTGAACTTGATATTAAGTTATTTATTTGGAATATTTAGACAGGCTGGCTCAGTTTCGGCTTTTAAAAAAGCAGGTGTAAATGTGGGCCTATAAAATGATAAGAAGGCCACACTGGGGGCAACATTTGTTACTCTTTGTTGAAGTCTGTGAGTTGTTTTACTCTTTAACTCTCAAGATCTGATTATTAATTAATTAATTCTCCCCTAGCTGCTGCACAATTGCATATTCATCAGTTATGAGAACTTTTCTGGTGGATTAAAAACACACCTTCTTCTACTGAGAAGGTTTGGGTATTCTCATCACCCGTTTGCTGGATAATGTAAGGATATTAGGGAGAAGTTACCTGTTAATCATTTCTGGGAGTTAGGGGGGTTAATGTCCCTGCTTATAACCAGTACAGAAGATGTAGGAGAGTATGGGGCCTATGGTTTATCATCCTTAGCTGAGAAGACTAGAACATATAACCAACCATTTGCAGATGTTGTATCAAAGGCAGCATGTTCTTGTCAGTTATTTTAAGACCTGAGTGTTGTTGTGGTCTGGGGCTTGAACCCTCAGCTACCAACATAGCCATAACACCTTCGCAATGTAAAAAGAAATCACAAGGACTCATCCAAACCAGTCGCTAGATACTTTAATCTGCACAATCATTCTTGGCAGCATATGGCACTTTGTGGCCTTTCCCTACATCTAGGCAGTTTAGAGGGCTGCATAACTCCAGAACAAAAATTATCTTTCAAATAGGCACTCTTAAGCCAGATGGTATCAACGAATGCTTTTCATTCAGCTAATATATTCTTGTTTTCCTGTCACCATATTCCCACCAATAACATAGCTCCATTTTCTGCATATAAATACACACACAACCCACAATTTCTCCAATTGCTCCGACGAAGGGCTATTGCGCTCAAAATGTCAGCTTTTAAACCCTTTACTCTGGCCAATTTACATTATCAGCTTAGTCAATAATACTTAATTACCCTGTTATACTCTCCCACTGATGCAGCACCACAGTTTCTTTAGAAATTTACCCCCTTTACCTGCACAGCAGTCCAGCATTCAACACGAGCAAGCAGAAAAAAAATTCCTCTGTTTTAATTTGTTTTTCAGATTATTGTCACTGTTCTTGTATACGGGATCCTGTTCTACCCATTTTTTGCTGTCTGACAACTGACACCAGACTGGCTGGGTCCTTGCTGGGTTTTCTTTATGTTACAATCAGGTGAGCTAGCTATTACTTTGTTTATGAATACCAATTTGATCAGACTGTGAGTTTGTTTTTGAACTAGCAAATACAGTACCAATGGAAATTTATAGTTAAGAGTCTAGAGAATATGGATATTGATGTTAACCCTTTAACTCCCATGAGTGACTAAGAGAGAATTCCTCGTAATAGTGTAGTCTGATCGTCCGGGTGAGTGTAGTCCTGAGGAAGACTGATGTCGGTGACTGACGTTTCGACAACCTGAGCAGAAGTCATCTTTAGAGCCAAGGAATAGTTGTTGTCAGTCGAATGTTCCTAGTCCGGTTTGTGTAAACTGATCGGTCGGTTTTGCCGCGATGTTATTGGCTGTAAGACTCAAGTGGCGTAGGTCGGTCGTGATTGGTCAGTCTCGACCGTTAGTAAAGTTCGGTTCGTTTGTAATGTTAATGTCATGGATGAGTCGTTTGTATGGTGCCGGTAGTGGTTGACACCTGTTGGGGAGTCTATTCCAAGTTAGTAAACCAGATTTCCAGAGTCAGGCGTTGAAAGTAGTTGGTGCTGTAGGTTAGGCATTGCGCAGAGTCCCAGTCAATAGTGTGGTTCGGGAGTCGGTGATGTTCAGCAACGTGAAATTTTCCATTCTTACAAGAAATTTTGAAAGTTTTTCACATTTTTAGCTTTCTTGATCAATTATCTTGTATAAAGAGCTGAAAAATGTAGGTTTATTTGGTCAAGTGACCGCCTAGAGCAAGAATTGCGTGACAGGGTAGTTGAGAGAAGCTTGTCACAGTCGCAGATTTTAAAAGGCATCCAAGACAAAAATACGGTAGTGCCCAAAGTTTTTTGATGATTTTCAGAGATAAAATTATGGATTATGAAGGGGTATCAAGATTAGTGTTGTAACTTTCTGGCAAGGGGAGATATTTGACCTCAAAGTTGTCAAATATTTGGATGAATCGAAAAGTCTAAAACCACAGTCTTTTATTTGCCTCTGTTGATTGACAAGCCGTCTATCAAACTGACTGATAATTGCGGCGGAAATTAACTAAGGATGTAAAAGTATGTGTGCAAACTATACCATCGCAGTGAGAGCTTCATACATTTTACCTATTTTGAAGCGATTTCCTCGGTGAAAACTAAGAAAAACCGTGGGGGTGGTCTATCTCCCCCAGGAAAAATCCAAAACAGAAACCAGTTCGTCTTTTTGAGTTTTGGGGCAGACCCTTTAAACTGGCAAAGTTTCATTGAAATCGGTGAGATGGCATGTAGCACGACTGCCTGGTGCTCTCGTGGACACGCTCTTAAAGGGATTGAACAAAACGGATCCAAATGTGATTATTTATCTAACTGTTCCCTCAGGCTTTAGGCGGGCGCTTGACTGTTTGTTTTTCCCTCAAAACAAGGAAGACTAACTTCTATGTAGTTATTAAGTCATCCAAAAAAAAAAAGAAAAGAAATCAGCGCAGTACATCAATGCATGTGTGAAGTAAAGCGAGTGACTCAGGCATCGCACCGCTCGGAATGATCCTAAATGATTGAGCCATTTTTTTCGCGCTGTTTGTTCTCTTTACGTGGCCCCACGTAAGAGTAAGTTCGCCCTCAGAGTAAATTAGCGCAAAAAAGGATTCATCTGATCTCAGGCAACTTGCTGATTAAGCACCGCTATTTATAACCCCCTACCGCCGCAGTTCGCACTCGAAAAAAAAAAACAAGAAATTAAAAATGGCTACCTTCTCGCAGGTCCTAACCGCTTGTTCGACATGATTCTATTTCGATAATTCAGATAACGTTTTTACCAACGGGAGTTTGTGAGTCTGTTGTAAACCGAGTTAGGCACATCTACATAATCGACTCCTTATTTCACTTGTTGAAATTCCTCTTCAATGCTTGACTCTCCGTTGTAGTGATACTTGAAAACAAGGCCCATGGAAATATTCCGCATTTCTATTACTAAGCTTTTTTCCTATAAATTGTCTACTCTGAGTAATTGTTCCTTAATCGCTGTTGAATGAAGTTTGCGCAAGAGGTTATAATCTATTGGTTTATGCCATTTCCGGCTAATATAGCCCTTATTATATTGAATTTCTAATCATTCGATGTATTTTCCTTTCAAAAACGGTATTCCTTATCTTAGGGATGCGGAAAATAGAAGAATATTATAATAAAGTTGGGGTATAACGCGCGCCGTAATTGTGAAAAAAAAATTAAAAAATTAAAAAACGGGCAGACGCAACTGCTTCAAAAAAGATCCAATCATAAGGGTTTTTACTGTTCTTTTAAAATTAGTTGTTTATTTATTCAAACATTTGCGTATTCATCTATTTATTCATTAAGCAACAACTTTGAATGTCCGCTTTAGCTGCTACTACTATTAGTATTATTTATTACGGTACAATTTAACCGACAGAAAGAACAATATTAAACAACTTGTAATATTCTTATCGAGGAGCGACTCTTAAAGGAAGTACAGTATTTATCCTAAATAAACTGATTTAAGCCCATTAAAAACCATATCTTAGCTCAACCCACTGACGAAATCTCACAGTTGTCTCCAAAGTTCCTCGAAATTATATCAACAATCTTCACAGTAGTTTTCCCTGTAGTCTTATTCGGAGGGCAGCCATCAACTGACTGAGCCATAAAAAATTTTAATTTTTAGATTGGTTTATTTCGATGAGTTTTGCCTGCAAATATACGATCGTCCAGGAAATAAACTTATAACTTACAATCACGAAGAAGACTGGTGACATTTACAACTGCATGAGTGCTTAAACAATAATAAACAGAATGACCTTTACCTGCAGATCGTAACTCAGACCCATCACAACCGACTAATAGCTGTTAATTAAGTGATTGTACTAAGTAATTGACTATTATTTCCAGTTTGCTGGATCCAGTTACCTAAGTTGTGCGATATTTCGATTCAAATTCAGCACAAGACTGCAATTCAACCGACCACGCAATGTCTATCTCACTTGGTTTGACCTGTGAGCTCTTCCTTATGGAGGTGTCCTTTATCGAAGATAGAAAAACGATGTTCATCTTTCTTTTGAATCGTTCTTTGATCTGCAGATAGATGAGCGACATTAAATATGGTTCTTAGTACTCAGGTATTTATTGAAACACTACAACTTGATGATATGCAGTTAGTGTATAAACAGTTTTCTTTTCTTACCTGAGTGTTTCGCATGGAGTGTAGAGCGAAAATCAGGAAACCCTACAGAATAAACATTCCTTTTTACAATATTTAAATAAACTAGGCAAATATATTTTAAAGATTTACTTATGTATGAAGAGAAATTTGAGAAGAAAAGAAAATTGCTTAACCCATAAATGAGGAAGAAATCTCTTTTCTCTGGCATATTTAACAGCTTTTTGTTTTCATAACTCCAATAAATATCATGTAACAATTGTAATGTTGTATCGCCTGGTTAAAAAATTTAATCGAGATTGAATGATTTTTGAGAGAAGCCATTCAACACTCACCTGAGTAGAGTTGAGTATGGTGAAGATGTAGGCGAAAGCTTTATGCACTGGCGAAAGGAGACCAAATAGCCACGTGACACCCAGTAGGGGAATTATCACTAAGCATGCTTTGATGCCAAGTCTAGGAGTTAAAAACAACCAAAAAAACACCATTCTTTTTTTTTCTTTTGACAAAAAATTGTAATTGTTAGATATCGGAATGCCTTCCTTATAAAGGAATGAGGAGGTTAGGCAAATATCGCCTCACAGGAGCAATCTTTTCCGCTATTTAGTTTTAGTTTTATGATGTACATCTTACCGTATTTGCTGAAAATGGTTGTCTTCTGCTATTGGCTGCACCAAATTGGTGATCTCTTTTATAACGCGTACGAGTATCAAGATGTTGAGCTGAAGAATACAATAGAAATAAATTGATTATTTTACAAATGGTTGTCAAAAAGCCAAGGCAGGAGAGGATCCTTGCCAAAGACGTCATTTGTTTGGTAAGGAGAGTGGAATGAAGAGTCATTTACAGGGAAAAGAACTCTCAGCTAGGGTACCTAGAGTATGAGCTTGGATGCTCTGACAATGAGCTAAAGAAATCGCGAACAAAAGTGTTTAAACTAAATGAACTATGCAAAGTGAAGCCTCATGTTAAATTCGATAAATTCAATATCTTCTACTCTTCCTGCTCGTTTTATCTTTTTCAATGTTTTTATAATTATTAATTTTTTCAAATGAGTAACTTTAGCGCGAAAAACTCATCTTGGTATATCAATGCGAAACAGTGTTAGAAAATTAGCATGGAGGGTGGAGAAACTTTTTTTTACACTATGTAGTAAAAGTTGAAGCTATAATTTGGTGTTAGATCAAGGCAACAACTTCTACCTGATAAGTTTAAATATTCTCATCAGCTGTTTGCTGTTTAATGTAGGGATATCACAAGGAGAAGTTTCATGTTGATCACTTCTGGGAGTTAAAGGTTTAATCCGCTTTTTAAAGAGCAGAGAAAAAAGTCTTTTGGCAGAAATTAGTCCAGGTGTACCAATCACAATCACCAACACGAATCATTAACTCACAACTTCAATGAAAGCCACAAAGGCGGCGAATATCCAGGTCAGGTTGTTAGTCGAGGAAAGCCAGCAACTAAACTCGAAGAAGTGAAAGACAAGAAAGAAAGCCAAATTTTCAGCGAATGAAATGATACCGATTTCAAACTATACACAAAAAAGCAATAAGAAACTGTTGAATTTCCTCACTATTTATCACTCGTATAGCTTTGTAACCCTTCTTTCCCGGCAACGATGCTAAGTGAAATGGCCACCATGATCACTGGAAGACCTACCCATAAAGAAAGGAAGGAAATCGAAACACTTCAATGGATGACAACACCAGATTTGGTGATCCGAAAGCATGCATGGTTATAGCTACAAGTGCATGCTGTAAAATAATAAACTCACCCCATGAGATGACGTGATACATGTGCATCTTGGTGTTGATGTTGTAAACTTTCACAACAAAGAAGTAGAGATAAATTGCCTCGATCAGCATCCAACAGAAAGCGGCCATGAAGAAATACTGTATCAGAGCTGCTATTGTAACACAGGCAGCCTGTGAAAAGAAAAAGTTTTCGTATTCTTATCGTGCTCCTTTCGACGATATTTACGGTGCAAAGAGTAAATTCATTCTATGGATAGAAAGAGAGGCCATTAACTTTATTTTCTGTGGCGTTTATTCCGGCGATGAAGATGATCTGTCCAGCTCCAAGGGACATAGAAACACTCAGTCGAATTTGAGGGAGAGGTTGACGAACATCTCTGATGAAAAAAAAGTAAAAAAAAAATGAATTAGACAAAGGCAACAACAACAATAACATCAACACACACTGAGTACATCAGAACAACAAAATTGAATCAAAAGATGCAGCAAAATATGGCTAAAGATATCAACTAAATCTTGACATCAAAGGAAAGAAGAAAAACAGTAAATAACTCTAGAAAGGACAAAAAAAAGGGAAGCATTACGAGGAAAATAGCTTAACCGAAAACAATTCATAAAACGTGAAACCATGAGCTTTTCAAGCGCTCTTGATGGGGCATGAAATCGACTTTGAATTTCTTAGTTATCTGGCTGGCTGGCATGCATGTTCTTATTGGCATGGAGATTTGCATTGAGATCTCTTTTCTCTCTAGCCTACTTGAGGGGAGTTAAGAATTTACGTCACTAATATTCAGGTTCATTACTTACGTGAGGCAAGAATAAAGTATTAATGTTAAAAGTATCCCGACGATGGAGAGGCTCAGTCCCACGTAGGTGATAACTTTCAGAACTGTTTCGTCCTCCTCGGTGAGCTGTGTCAAAAAAGAAAAAGAAATTTAAAATAAAACATTGAGGTATTTAATTGAGCCCATAAAATTATAGAGTAAGGCAAAAATTATTTGATTACCTTTGTGCTACCGTCGTAGTCCATTAAGACGGCGAAATGAGTCAAATGATTGCAGCTGCAAACTGTTTCTTCTGAGTTGCTTTTTGATGTAACTACATGGCATCCTTCCTCTGAAAAGCCTTCTGACCTGAAAAAAAGTAGGTCGACAAAGCGCACAAAATTGTTCATCGTTTTGGAAGAGGCGATGTTTGACAATTTTGCGCTAAGTTTTTCCTTCATTGTAGTCTTAGCTGCGAGAACATTTCAGTCAGACTTCCTCTCTCTAAAAACGCCAACATGTTGGCCTCCAGGGAAAATCTTACTAAGAACGTTCATTCATACTCCTTCATACTTAAATCAATTTAAGAAGGAATAAATACTGAACAATAATATATTGCAGTTTTATTTTTACCTATTGCTGCTGCCACTCCAAAACATACAACGCTTCTCTGCTGTCAAGACCTGAAAATGGATTTTATCTTGTCAGAATGAATCATAATAACGCGTAACGACTAATTTTAATGTTACCTTAAGGTTTTTGAACTTAAGGATGACATTTTCTCCCAATTTATTTGGCTTGGGGTCCATAGTTATGGCCATTATCCTGGAGTTGATATACCTATGAAGAAATTATATTTGAAAATGAACCAAAACCAAGGAATCAACAAGCATACACTCTCGTTAGATTCAAGCGAATTTTTATTGAAGGTGGAATAGTCTGAGACAGGCAGGGAGACTTCCAACCTTAGATGGAACTTTTGACAGTTTCTAAGGTCAGTTTAGTTGAACTTGGGTCTTACGTGTTTCTGTGATGTGTGTTTTTGGGGAAAGGGACATACAATAAAATAAAAATAACATCACCCTTTGTTGACTGTTTTATTCCTGATAGGTTGATCTGTCAGAAGTAGGTCATGCAGATCCTTGTACACAAAAGCAACCACCAATGATCCTTAAAACCCCCAAGAATCAACAAAAAATAAGTTATCAAAAAAAAAAAATTATAATAAACCACAAAATTAAAATATTTATCATAACATTAGAAGGAAGGCAAATGATTCAAGAAAATAGACTATGTAAACTAATAAACCGCATTTTTTTGAGGATTTATTCAGAAATTTCGATTGGAGAAACCAAGGTAACTAAAAGTTGTAAAGTTAACACGCCGGTTAATACGAACCATTTTCCTCAAAATTTGAAGAAGCGATATCGATTCTCGCTTGCCATCGTTGTTCCTCAAAGTGGAAGTAACTCGCATTCTGGCGATAGGCTTTTTGAATGGCCAAAACTGTCAAACCGAGCGAGAAGAAAGGTTTCAAAATTTTGAAGGATTTCTATTCTGTCTTATTGATTGTTTAAAGATACTTTTAATTTCCTTCACGGCAAAATTTTAAAGTATCAAACAAATAAAAAAAAAACAAAAAAACAACCAGACATCGATAATATTCAACAATAACGTTTCAGGCTTATAAATGAGTTCTTACATTATCTAGGAAATTATGCCGCTCAGTCGGTCTGTCAGCAAGTCATTAAGTAACAGAGAAATAGACTTTAAACCTAAACAGGACTGAAGGCCGCAACCTCACCCATTTTTGGGTACACGATCCTTTTTGAAAGCCTCATTCCACTCAGGTGCTGCTTTCCATAATTAAGAGCAAATTTCTCGACGGCCTCTGCCACCTCAAAGATGGATTTTCTTAGAGTCTTAACCTCTTCCATGTTGGCCATGTCTTTTGCGACGTTCGCGATATTTATGGTGAAATTTTCAAACACACCTACAGCCTCCTGCAATGACGTAAAATATTTCCAGGTCATTAACTAGCCAGTCTCATAGATACAATTGATATTAAGAAGGCGGAAAAAGTCTAGCAGGAGGCCCTCGATGGTGTCCAGGGTATTCATTGTCAAAATAACTCTTTTAGGAGCCTGGATTATTTTTTCCCATTTTTCACCATTTTCACCTCATATGGCTTGAATGGTGGTTTATCCTGAAAGATCAGATATTTACTTTTATGGTTTAAATAGATATATCAAAGTTAAAAGCCTTCAAGTTATGAAAATTGGATACCTTTATGGAAATATTTCTGGTAATGTTTATTCCGGATAATTTTGACACAAAAGCATTTGCCTAGAATTAAAAAAAAAAATGTCACATTTATAAACAGAGAAGGTCCCGAAAAGCGACATGCATAGAAACGTAAATGACTATTTAGAACACAAACCAGCTCCTCGACTGTCCTTAAAAACCATGACAATGGTGTTGTTGGCGATGGCGATGGCGATGACGATGCTGGAGATGGATGAGAATGGAAAATCTTGGATTAGAACGAGATGTCAATTGAGCTGTTACAATGTTTTACGGCTTTCCTCTCAGCACGATTGTATATTTTTCCAACTATTGGAGAGCGAATGACAGGAAACGCAAACGGCATAAAGGTTCGAAAATTCAAGCTTGTCATATCGCTCAATTTACAAAACTTGGATGAAACAGATGTTTTATAATAAGTGAACGCTTGTGAGGATCACTTTGGGTTCCTTTCAACACAGGTTTTGCTAAATGTGTCATAACACCATATGTCGCCAATGTTACGAAGTGCTCAACTTGAAGTGTGCTATGCCAACGAAAACTATTGGAATACATTACCTCGAATATCCCCGTTGTTAACAATGACGTGGGAGGAAAATACAAACGAGCTATGGCTTTTGTTAATTGATTAGGTAGCTGGGGAAATGGTTTACTACTCGGCTATTAGCTTGATCGCGATACTCGCCGGTGTTAATTTCTGTACATGTTTGTTTGCACCTTACACCATTGCATCTTCGATTACAATGATCACCGGTAAGTTTCGATTACATTGAGCACCAGCAAGTCTGTCGGGTCCCCCCTCCCTTTTCATTTTGTACCTTTTATTTCTGAGGATGGGTCATTTGTTGTGCTTGGGACATATTCCACGTCATTATAGTGACCCATTCCTCTTACCATATCGTTGTGTACAAGGCGGTTCAACTTAGTCTTGGTAAGAGTCCCGCCAAGAGTTTTGTCCATCGCTCACATGTACAAGTTAGGGGAGCTGAGCATATTCTGTGAACAATATCTTCTTCTTAAGAAGCAAGAGCAATTTTCCTGACACAAGTACAAAACTGTAATATTTCAGCATGTAATATACTTTATGGTTGGAATGTGATCTTACCTCCGGGAATCTCGCAAATGTAGGCATTTTCATCATTCTGAGTGATACCATTAAAGAGGCCTCCATTCTTGGATATTTCCGCATATTCGCCGTTACCATCTGGCTCAGAATCTCCATATTTCGAAATATTTAGTTTTTCTCCACTCAGCCAAGTCCAAACCTCGGCTATCTTCCATAAACCAATGTGCCACGCACTAGTACTCCAAGTACCACGCTTTTGAATTTCATATTTGATAAACTTCCATTCTTCTTCAGTTTCGATGGAGACTAAGTCACCTCCCTGGCTGAAACAGACATCCCTGTTCTGATACCAACCTCTTCCACTTTTCGAAAATATGTAAGAGGAGTTTTTGAAACAGGTTGCTCGGCACTCTATAAGAAAAAAAAATAAAGGACAAAAAATAGACAAAAAAATGTAGACTGTTGTAACAATAGTGATAATTCTGATGGTGGAGACAAAGGAATAAATAAATATATCATTGTTTACTGATCATAACAATAGTAATAACGATATAGATGAAGAAGAGAAAGTATATTTCTATACCATTAACATTGATAAAAAAAAACAATGGGCATCAAAACTTTCTACCTCACCAAAGGAAAAATTAGAATTAGGCAAGATTTTAAAAGTGGAAATTGGGGAAATCAGGGTAATAGCACCGTTAGTCTGACTTTATTTTATTTTTGCTTTCCAACTAACGTTTTTTAATCGCAAGCCGATGTAATTCCAGGAGGAAGTCTATCACTAATCATTTTGATAATTCAGTCAAATCCTTTCTTTTTTTCCGGTTAATTTTTATGGTACATAAATATTATATTGGAATGACACTCTCTCACCTGTTCGTGGCAATTCCATCATCAAATGAAGGATGACTGTAGAAGAGAAAATGAGATTGTTATGTCGAAAATAACGTTTGAAACAACTAAAAAGTTTATTAGATTTCGAGGTAGACTAGTACTAATGCATTTTATTCGCTGCATGCACTTTAAAACCTACC